TCATCCATCCATTCATTCCATTATACAAACCGTGTTGTCCTTATAGGGTCAAAGGAGCTGGATCCTGAGCCAGGAGACCACTTTGTTTTTTGGAAAGTCTTATTTTGAAAGCAGTTTATTTTAGATCCAAAGCGATTATTCCCAAGCATGCACCACATTCTGAAATGTATGTACATTAAGTTGGACCCATTACTGTCATGCACTCACTTAAACACACCATGAGTAAAAAGTGGCCCACTTCACCCCACTCTCTGTGGCAACAATCAAAAGCTTTGACCCCCCCCCCATTCACTCAATAATAAAAATTTGCTGATCAGATACAATATGGTTTTAGATGAAAAATATTAAGTTATGATTGTTTTATAAAGCAAGGATTCTTCAAGTCCAAACAGATCTGGAATGTGAAAATCATATCATAAACAGATTTTTTTTTGTGTCTTTTTCCCCCTCATAATTTTAGTTTATTAATCTGAAATTTTATATATACTTTGTCTATTATAGCAACAATCAAAAGCTTTGACCCCCCCCCCATTCACTCAATAATAAAAATTTGCTGATCAGATACAATATGGTTTTAGATGAAAAATATTAAGTTATGATTGTTTTATAAAGCAAGGATTCTTCAAGTCCAAACAGATCTGGAATGTGAAAATCATATCATAAACAGATTTTTTTGTGTGTCTTTTTCCCCCTCATAATTTTAGTTTATTAATCTGAAATTTTATATATACTTTGTCTATTATAGAGTGACGGGGCTGACGAGACGTGAGATGTGTGGATCCATCTGCAAGCTTTTATTAGAGAGACGTGGTAAACAGGCAGGGTCAAACAGGTATATGGTGGGCAAAACACAAGAATAGTCCTAGGGCTAGCGTAGGTCACCGAACGGCAGACAGAATCACAGGGGCGAGACGAGAGGGAAAAATCCAGGAAAACAGGCAAAGATCAGAAACCGTGAAAACACAGAAACTCGGAAGGAAAACACGGAGATACCGGCTAAACAATACTCAGCAGAGAAAGGTGGTTAGAGTGGGTGTTATATAGTGAATGAGGTAATTAGAAACAGCTGTGTGCAATGAGTGCAATCAGGGCAGTGTGCAAATTGTGCAAAGAATGATGGGAAATGTAGTCCGGGGACTATGCAACAGTTTGTGTAGTGCGAGAGTCAATGTAATGGAAAGTGTGACATCTGGTGGTGAATAAACGGAAGTCCATGAACCGAATTCGTGACAGAGCCCCCCCCAAGGAGCGGCTTCCAGATGCTCCAAACACTAAACGATCCAGGTGGGCGGTGGAGCGGAGGCGGAACAGGTTCAAGGATAGGAGAGACCAGGGACTGAGGCAGAGACAGCGGAGCTGAGGACCACCACAGCAGAGCAGACGGGACCGAAGATCCCCACGGCGGAGCAGAAGACCACTGGAGCCAGACAGTAGACCACCTCGGCGGGGCAGAGGACCACCA